TTAGGGGAGGCGCCCGCCACCCCTCGCATCCCCTTGGCGCCGTCCCTGGTCCCAGCACGGGCGAGTCTACGGCAAAGCTGGCGTGTTTCAGAGCTTCGCCACTTACTTGTGTCAACAGGTTACAACAACCTAGCCATTCAAGACGACCGAGGACCCAGACGCAGCACTTGAATAGGCACGGGAAAGATGGAAAATCTGGTTCGATTGGCCGAGCTTGGCGCCGTACTTCCACTGAGCGGCGCTGCTTTTTCGGGGGACACTTGACGTAATAACACTTCAAGAAGCTTTGAGAATGTCCACCAGGTGCCATTCGGTAATCGTTTTAAATAAAGTATTAGTGTCTTTTCGAACGAAAATTTGTGTCTTAGCGGTGTTACTCCAACATAGTCGACGATTTAGACCATACACCTTTTACGTTTACGCTCGTCCCCATCTACTCGGTAGATACATTCAGTATGGGCGACCAAAAAAGAATAAAGCTTTGCAACCTTCAAATAGTAAAAAAAAAAAACGATAAAAAAAGCATAGAGGTGAGTTAAAACGAGAATGAGTGACGGTTACACTTATATTCTGAATGTCTTCTATTGGCGTGGGGACGGCAAAATGTTTTCGCCCACACTGGAAGTAACGCCATTCAAGATGGCGGCGTCCTTCTGAAAAAGGTGTATAAGATAGGCGCTAGAGCTTTGTTCCAATACCCCTTTAATCACAGGATTTTTTTTTCTTTTTTGATTGGGGTGATGATGACAGTGTTCTCTTGCACTTTCCAGAATAACGCATTTAAGACAGGACGAGGAGTATTTCTAAAAGAAAGTCTTCAACGACGAAAATAAACGCCAGCAACGCAATGTCAAGAACATTTTTTTTTCGTTTTTGAAACTTAACGTGAGGGGTTCTCAATACGTCTGTAAAATGGCGATGAAATTGCAATGAATAAACTATATGCCACGACACGGTTTAGATAGAACAAATGACAAATGCGGTTTTATTGAGCTTGCACGGGCCATTGCAGCATGGAACTCAAAACCGAATATTCTTAACAATGTTTCAAAACGTGCAGAAAGGAGACCCGGTGAAGTGCTCCTCTAAAACTCTAGATATGCGCTCATTCACATCTTTCTATTTCTGCGCGAGACGCGGCAGCAGTTGTCCCGTCGTCTAGCTGGGCCATCATCAGTTCTTGCAGTAGTTGTTCATCCTTCAGACACCTCAGGAAGGCCCAGAGGTTGGGAAGCATCTAGAAAAGACAATACTTATTGGCATATACGTCGATGGAATATTGTATTGGCTTGACATGCACCTTTGTTATTTTATGATCATATGTATTTTTATACTTGGGAGAAGAGCGTGTTGGTTCAACAGATGGATGAAGAAAGAATAAACAATTAACACTGGGACAACACAACCACATCTTTCAACTAGCAACAGACGATCGAAAATTCCCACAGCGAGCAGCCGACTAAACCCAGGAGGGAAAGGGAGGAAAGGGGAGATAAAAAACGCGAAGAGCAAGTCAGAGAGGTGGGTTTATTTCGGATTTTAGAGATTCAACCTACCTCAGTTTTGGTCAGCAGGAAGGAAGGATTTGAGACGTTGTTGTTTGCTGTGGTCATGGCTATGATCTCCCTGCCAAATCTGCTGTTATGCACCCCCTCCCCCCCCAAAAAAAAAAAAAAAAAAAATTCTGTATCATTAAAGAGGGGATGATAAAGCGAACACGAACGGGCATGTGTGACTATGGGATGATAGGAATCTGAAAAGGCCTTAGAAACTTCGTTGTGGTGTTCCCGGAGTCTGTGATTAGTGCATCTACCTGTCTGATCTGTGTATTGATGACCGCAGCTCAAGGGAGTGGAGTAAACTTTCTTTTCTTTGCATGGAATGAGCTTCTCTTCGTGTTTAACAATGCAGCTAATCGGAATCCGGCTGTTGTTCACTTGTTGACAGAGTTGCTAAAGACGCATGCGTCACAAAAAGACAACGCTCGTGTCAAACTTTGAGGCAATGGTTTTTATCCGGTGGGCTGAATCGTGTACGTAAGGAATGACGCGGCGAATTGGGCTTTCTTTTTTGTGGCTGGTGACTGGCGATCAGGCCCGCGAATCAGCCTTTCCATTACTGATCGTAAAAGGTCGACGGGAGCGACTTTCTACGATCTACGGGAGCGGAGCCGTCTAAGGCTCCGCTCGCTCGGGCTGCAGCTTCGCAAGAGTCCCCCTCATCCTGGAGTGGCCTACGTCCTTAGATTCCACTGCAACAACTGGGCCTCCATCTACCGCATCATGCAGATATCGAGGAAAGAAATATCCTTAGAACGCCAGCTTCTGGGGACGATCCTTCCCAGCTGCATGACGAACTTGTTTTGCTCTGGCTTCCGCTCGCATCCATTGTACCTGTTCATCATCGATACCGTGTCACGCCTCCTTGAAGCTTCATGGAAAGAAGTCATCGCTGGAGTGACTGCCTCCTGCCGTAAGCTGAACGAGACGCAGTTCGAACCACCAGTCCTTTTGTACAACACTGCTCTCTCGTCCGACACCATGGATTTACTCTCCAAATGCCTCAAGTTCACCCCAGACCTTCCCACTAAGAAGGTTGATCAACTCGCCTCCGTACATCAAGTCCTCGCTGCCGTCCCAGAACCACAGAGGCAAGATTTTCTCGGCTCCGCCATCCGCGCCGTGTGTTTCCACCCACCCCCCAAGCCAGGCAAGATCTCGCTACACGGCGCTGTTCAAGAGCTTTGTCAAGAACACCTAAAGCTGTTAGAATCCGATACGACAGGTGTTTTCGTTGCGCTAGAGGAGGGAGATTTTGGAGATAAGGTGAACGCCGCCCTTTCAAAGAATTTTCTCAAACTGAAATCGCGACCGTCCGGGACCCTCAGGTCAAGAGCTACACAACTCTGCTCGTCGTTGAACCAATCGTCCCAAAGAACCGCCATTAGTAGTCCAGTTAAGCAGTACCTTTCAAATTTCTTCACTGCAAAAACATATAAGACTGGAGTTCCCCTCAGAAGTATTGTGTCAGGAAAAGGTTGTTGGCAGAAGCACCTCGGGCTCTTTCTACAAAGGCATCTGTCCTGCATCCATCTTCATCAACCCTTGAGAATGTCTAACTCAATAGAACTCATTTCTCTCATCAGTTCCTAACATTTCTTCTCTTTGCCGCACTCTATTTTTTTTATTTGACATAGAAGACGTCTATTTCAATCTAGATCCTCCCGGATTGCTTGTCTCAATCTCCGACGCCATCTTTGAGCACGGAGCCGTGGATTTTCAGAATTCCTCCGATGTCTCCGTTGATGGATTCGTGTACCTGATTCATCTATATCTCCAGTTCATCTAGTTGAACACGAGAGAGGGATCTACCGCCAAAAGAAAGGAGTTTGCATCGGCTCATGCCTCGCCCCCGTTCTCTGCGAGTTATTTCTTTTATTCGTCGACAGAGCTATAAAAGCACAACTAGACATCACGCCTGGCTGCCATATCTTCAGATATGTAGACGATTACCTAATCATTCATTCTGATCGAACTTCTCCTGACAGTATTACAGCCGTTTCTTCGGCTTGCTCGTCAAGCCTTACTTTCACGAAAAAAAGAACCTTCGAATGAATGTCTGCAGTACCTTTATTTGCGGCTTCATGTCAGTGCCACTGGACTTTGCTGGACCTTTCAACAAAGGTCTGCAAAACCTGCCCTACCGTTTTCTAGCGCCCATTCGAAGTCGGCAAAACACGGTACCATCAAGTCCATGTTTCTTCATCCTTCATGAAGTCTTGCTGTAATCTTTCAGAAAATAGCTTCAAATTCCAGCACATAAGGCTTGTCGGGGCAGGGTTTCCCGTCGACCTTCTACGACCAGTAATAAAAAGGCTGATTCGCGGGCCTGATAGGCAGTCGGGTGTAGCCCGAAACAACCCATTCCCGTTTGAACCCGTCCCATTTCGACCCATTCCCGAATCGACCTTCCCGTTTGAACCCTTCCCGTTTCGACCCATTCCCGTAACGACCTTCCCGTTTGAACCCGTCCCGTTTCGTCCCATTCCCGAAACGCCCTTCTCGTTTGAACCCTTCCCGTTTCGTCCCATTCCCGAAACGCCCCTCTCACTTGAATCCGTCCTGTTTCAACTGATACCCGAAAGACCCTTTGCGTTTGAACCCGTCCATTTTCAGCCCATTTGTATAAAACCCTGCGCATGCCAACCTCTTCGCGAAAGGCTAATCGTTCAAATCCTGGTCAGCGCACCTTTTCGGCTTAAGAATACATGTTCTGAAATATTTCTGGAAGCCGGTGTGTTTTAAAAATATGCACCTTTCAGGTAGGCTTCGATGTAATATATTATTCTTACTTCAACCACTTAAAGTTTTTTTGTTTTTTTTTTATTTCAAGATGATCCCCATAAAGGCCCGTTCACACTCTTGCAACCGAGTTCGACCGAGAGAGACCAGACCGGTTTTTAAGCCTTTTGCGACTTCTTAGGACCGGATGCGCTGCAGCTGAGCTGGTCCTAAGAGATCGCAAGAGGCTTAAAAACCGGTTTGGTTGCTCTCGGTCGAACTCGGTCGCAAGAGTGTGAACGGGCCTTAACGTGCAACCGCGAAATGGCCTAAGTACATTCGGCGACGCCGTTGCTGCAAAAACGACCTTGTCGATTCTTTTAGAATTTTACTTCGGAAGGGTATTAGCAGGTACCAAATTTTAGGGCCTAGGGTAGTGGCTCAGATAAGCACTTCCAAAGAGAGCAATAGTGTTTATGGCAGCTTTTTAATTCTATGAGATAAACAGCAACGCCGCCGATCGCTTGTTCGCGGTAACATTTTCACGCTATGCACAATAATGAAGTCTTACGTACACAATCACTTTGGGTAAGCTAAAATTAGCGTCGCCGTCGCGACGCTATTTTCAGTTTACCCAAAGCCTTGCGTACATTCTCCTAAAACCTTATATTTTTGATTGTGATATTTTGGAGAGCGAGAAATCAGACAGGGGGACAGACATATGATCGCGACTTTATTTGCTTTTACACTTTTAAACATTGAACACTCGCGCACACAGAAAAACATCACAGACCGGAAAATGCCTTCGCTTTGTTGAGAAACTCAAAGATGGAAATCGTGCCATTAGAAAGGCGACACTCGAGCTCAGAAAGCTTGCGGTCCTTGCTGACCCACTTGTGGCCCCTGGCCCGCACAGCACCACCATTCGCAAGCTGCTGCAAGGATATCCTAGTCAAAGCCTCATCCCGTTTAATTAAATCGATAAAACTGTAAATGTTCGGGTGGGCCCTCCCTGACACCGCATTTATTTTACGGTGCCAGGACTCCATGTGGTTGTTTGTCCGTGGCCCTCGGTTTCCGTGGTGATTCCATTGCTGAATCAAAAAATGACCATTCATCCAGGTGCCATCAAAATAGTCAAGCACAGTGATGACGCCTGAAACACCGAGGGATACGCCTTCTTGTCGCAAAAACAGCCATGCACGCTGGACGTCAGAAACTGGAACGAACGACAGCGCCACCATCTTTCTAATAAGGGACCTAATAGTGTCATCCTGCCCGTACGCAGTTTGGAGGCCGGCTCTTTGTACTGCAGCCCACACTCTTTTTGTGAAATGGAAATGGCACCCACGATGGATTGCGGTTGGGAATAAAGTCAACAAGCCTGCGATGAGCGCCTGCTCGAAGTCTGTTAGAAAAATGTCAGGATTCGGAAACACGATGCCCGCACCAGCGAATACATTCCTCAAGTTTTGAAATGCTCGAACATACGTCTCACGAGATCTACCAGACAGCAGAAAGTACACTGCGGGTGAGTGTTTGCCATCCGACATGACATGAATGGTCAGGAGTTGATCAAAAATCTGAGGCACAACAAAAAATGTACCATCAACAAAGAGCATCTTCGCGGATGACAAGCGCAGCAAACCCTCCCGTGATGCAAAGGCTAAGATCCGAGAACCACCAACACTAGTGTCATCGATTACAAGGAAGGGATGGCCGTCTTCTGTCTGTTGGTACAACGGGCTCAGCTGAATGTCGTCCGCAGTTGCAGGAAGTTCCGGCTGATGACGGCGTCGCTCTCTGTACATGGCGTTCTTCAGGCTTGCGAAAGTCGGGATTTCAGCTACAACATCGGCCGCGCTCTAAAAATAAATACAGTTCCCGCTTTAGCCAACAAACCTGATTACACATGAAAACATACAGTCCCCTTTTCTTTTCCTTTTAGCTGCACCAAATTTTCAAAGAAACGGAAGGTGAGATAGGGTAGTTTGAGCCCTTGGGCCAAGTTGGTGGCCATTCTGGCCGCTTGAACTAAGGCGCAATGGCGGAATTAGGTAGTTACTTAACTAAAATGGGTAGGTAAATTTAGCATCTGAGGGCTAGGGGCATAGGGTATATAAAAGATCGAAGCTCGACCTCAATCTGGCTTAGCCGTACCGTAAAAGTTTGATTAAAAAAGTATTAGTGGGCACTACAGGGCAAGAAAGTTTACCCTTGAACAAGGCTGACATATCTTGCCCCATAGCGCCCACTATGAATTTTAATTCAGAATGGTACTTCACATCTAGACCATATTGAGGACGAGCTTTAATTATCCAAATACATTACGCGCCCTCGAGTGAAAAATAATTAAAACGTTTTAGTTAATTAGCTAGCTAATGACCTAATTTCGCATTTTTCTAGTGGCCACCAAGGCCATTATCACTGCCCCAGGACTCAAATTACTACATCTCACGTTTACTTTTTTCTAATGTAGCCCAGCTAAAAAAAAAAAAAGCCCATTATGATCGCACTTTCACAAAATGGACACTTACGGCTTGAGATGCGCGAAGAAGTTCCTGGTTGTAGAGCGTCGGAGCTGCAACGTGAGGATTAGAGGCCACTTTTTCTTTTAGTTCCATTCTGATCCGGTCCTTGACAACGGCTGTTTCATCGGGAGGGTGATTGTGGTCTCCTAAAAAAAATGAAATGTTAATTTCGCAGTGCAAATTCACGTTAACCTTCAGCTTTAAATAACCTTTCTACTCACGAAGGGTGTTCTTGACATGATCTCCTTCCGTCAGGATTGATGCAGGGCAGCAGGATGAACCATGGTTGGCACACCGCCACGCAACAGTTCCGTTCGCATTCGAACGTTTCTTGTGGTACTTATATCCATCTAAGTGTAAACACTGCTTCTTTTTCTGGGTTTGTAAGATGACAAACGAAGACATCCTGCGGCGGTGACAGCGGTAACTGCTATGCGTTTACAGCACTGCCGACACACTAACACCAGAACAGCGTGCAAAAAATGACTGCTGGTGATTAAATCTTCAAGGTCGTTTTGGGAGAGGGTGAAATTAGGTCACCAAGGAAGACAGACATGGTACACTTGAACTGACTGAACTGATAACAAACTTCCCGTGGACAGTGCGAGGTGACACGGGTCGAAACGGGAAGGTTGTTTCGGGAAAGGGCGAAATGAGGAAAGATGAAACGGGAAGGTCGTTCTGATCCGGGTCGAAACGGGAAGGTACAAACGGGAAGGTTGAAATGGGAATGGGTTGAAACGGGAACCACCCAGCCAGTCACCAGCCACAAAAAAAGAAAACCCGATTCGCCGTCATTCCTTACGTACACAATTCAGCCCACCGGAAAAAATCCATTGCCTCAAAGTTTGACACGAATGTTGTCTTTTCGTGCCGCATGCGTCTTAAGCAACTATGTCAACAAGTGAACAACAAAACCGGATTCCGATTAGCTGCACTGTTAAACACGACAAGAAGTTCATTCATGCAAAAAGAAGAACGTCTACACTATTCCCTTGAGCTGCGGTCATAAATACATAAGTCAGACCGGCAGATGCACCAGTCACAAACTCCGGGAACATCACAACGAACTTTCTAAGCCCTCTCCAGATTCCTATCATCCCATATCATACATGCCCGTTCGTGTTCGCTTGATAATCCCCTCTTTGATTAAACAAAAATCTTGGGGGGGGGGGGGGGGGGTAGCAGCAGATTCGGCAGGGAGATCATAGAGTCATTCGCCATGACCACAGCAAACAACAACGTGTCAAACCTTCCCTCCTGCTGGCGAAAACTGAAGTTGAATTTCTAGAGTCCGAGATAAACTCATCTCTCTGACTTGCACTTCGCGTTTTTTATCTCCCCTTCTCCGCCCTTTCCCTCCTGGGTTTAGTTGGCTGCTTGCTGTAGGGAATTTTTCATCATCTGTTGCCAGTTGAAAGATGTGGTTGTGTTGTCCCAGTGTTAATTGTTTATTCTTTCTTCATCCATCTTTTGAACCAACACGCTCTTCTCCCAAGCATACCTATCATTTCTGAGCTATGTAACGTCCCAGTCTCAACCGCGAGCCACCGATGTTCAACCCGGCTTCCTTCTTCGAGGCTGCTTGCCTCATCTCAAGAATGAATCTGCTCCGTCTATGGCTCCGCTCGCTCGGACTGCACCTTCGCAAGAGTCCCTTTCATCCTGGAGTGGCCTCCGTCCTTGGATTCCACTGCAACAACTGAGCCTCCATTACGCAGATATCGAGGGAAGAAATATCCCTAGAACTCCAGCTTCTGGGGTTCCCACCTGCATGACAAACTTGTTTGGCTCTGGCTTCCGCTCGCATCCATCGTACTTGTTTATCGTCGATGCTGCGTCCGGCCTCCTTGAAGCTTCATGGAAATAAGTCATCGCTGGAGTGACTGCCTCCTGCCGTAGGCTGAACGAGACGAAGTTCGCACCGCGAGTCATTTTGTGTAACACTGCTCTCTCGTCCGACACCATGGATTCGCTCTCCAAAGGCCCCAAGTTCGCCCCAGACCTTACCACTAAGAAGGTTGATCAACTCGCCTCTGTACATCAAGTCGCCGCCGCCATCCCAGAACCAGAGGCAAGATTTTCCCGGCTCCGCCGGACTATAAACTATATTCGGACTATTAACCCCTTGTTTACAGTCTAAATTTTTTACACAATTTATTTTTCCCAGTAGAGTAGAGTAGCCTATGTGCCGACAAAAAATATAGGAAGCCAAACTGAACCCAGCCCGGACATTACAAACGTGACGTCAGAGACCCCGAGAATCCCGTGTGTCCTTTCATTCCCTTCTCAATCCGTTCAAAGTATCGTTGGTCATAAACATATTATTATTTTTAATTTATTTACCAATGCTGCGGATCCTGGGAGTTCGAAGAATTAGATGTACACAATCAATAAAACAACCAACACTTCTTACACAAAGCAACAACAAAACACCAAAGGGAAAAAAGAATGCCATTACTCCCATGGGTGAATTTGGGCAGCATTAGGTGGATTACTTCTTAAATATTTCCGAGTTCCGTGATGTTTTCGCGCGTGACTCAGTAAAAGAAAGTGCAGGAAACCCCGAATGGCCTATGCTCGACAGGCGGGTTTCGTGTAAAAACTAATCAACAAAACCTGGGATTTTGAGGTATAAATACTTTTTTGTTGATCGTTCGGCTCGTGTGCATCGTGTTTCCTTAGAAGTGCACTAGGTTTGTATGAAGGCCTTTGTCAGGGGTGGTTCCCGTTTCGACCCATTCCCAAAACAACCTTCCCGTTTGTACCTTCCCGTTTTGACCCGTCTCGAAACGACCTTCCCGTTTCAACCTTTCCCATTTCGCCCTTTCCCGAAACAACCTTCCCGCTTCGGCCATCGTTCGGTTAGTTTGTATTGTTCGTTAACAGTTGATTAGGTTCAAGTGTCCAGTGTCTGTTCTCCTTGCTCACATCACTTCTCCCTCTCCCGAAACAACCTCGGAGACATGGCACCGTAAGATAAACGCTATGTCAGGGAGGGCTCACCCGACCATTTTTCAACTTCATCAACCTGCAAACGGGATGACCCTTGAGAAGGACATAGCTGCAGCAGCTTGCAAATGGTGGTGCCGTGCGGGCCAGGTGACCGCTGCGAACTATCACAATTGGAGTGCCGCCTTTCTGATGGCGCGATTTTCCTTCTCAACTTCCTCAACCAAGGCGACAGCATTTTGTGGTTTATGATTCTTGGCTGTGTACGCGACGGTTGTGTGTTTGAACTTGTAAAAAAATGAAGTCGCAATGATATGCCCGTCAGCCTGTCTGAGTTATCACTTTTAAAAAGTATCCCTTTCACTATAAAGAAGTTTTAGAATAACGTACGTAAGCGCATTGGGTAACCTAAAAGTAGCGTCGCGATATAAAAAGCTTAGGCAACGCTAATTTTTGCTTACTCAAAGTGCTTGCCTGCGTTAATCTAGGACTTCATTAGGTGCTTTCGTAGACCGCGTTTTCTTTTTCGCTAAGCCCTGCGCAACGAAGAAGCCGCTACTGCGCCTGCGCTCCGATGGCCTTGGCTGTAGAGTTCTGGGTATCGTAGCGGGTTGCGAAGGAGCGTGGCGTGACTTCGAAGATGGTCTACGAAAGCTCCCTGTTTTGTACAGAGCGCGAAACCGTTAGAGCGAACAAGTGATTGTTGGTTTTAGCTGTTTGTCTACAAAAAAAAAAAAAAAAATCAGAAGACTGCCATCAATATTACTAGTGTGTTTGAAAGTGGTTATCTGGGCCACTAACGTAAGCGGTAAAATGTGATACCTTGTAATACCATTTCGAAGTAAAATTCGAAAAATCGCCAATTCGTGCTCGTGGTAACGTGGTCGCGCAGTGTACATAGTCCATTTTGTAATTACACATTTTGGGGATCATCTTGAAAGAAACATTTTAAGTGGTTCAAGTAGAAATATATTTCCTTGAAGCTTGTCTGAAAGTATTGCATATTTTAATAATACGTTTACAAGCAAAAATATTTCACAAATAAACTGAATTGCTCGCCTGCACCTTTGTATTAATTGCATTAACATGATTTCGGGACATAGTCTTAAGCAGAAAAACTGCGCCAACCAGGATTAGAACGATGGACACTTTTTGCGAAGAGGTTGAGATGCGCGGGGTTTTATACCAATTAACGGGTTCAAACGGGACGAATTCAAACGTAAAATATGTCTTGGCTACGGGTTCAAATATGAAGGGCGTTTCGGGAACGGGTTGAAACGGGACAGGTTCAAACGGGAAGGTTGTTTCGGGAATGGGTTGAAACGGGACGGGTTCAAACGGGAAGGTCGTTTCGGGAATGGGTCAAAACGGGACGGGTTCAAACGGGAATGGGTTGTTTCGGGCTACACCCTTTGTCAGAGGCTCTCTAAGTGTGATAACGTCACTTTCTTTAAATTTTACGTCATGTTTAGCAACAGGCCACCCTCCCCCCCCCCCCCCCCCCCCAAAAAAAAAAAAAAAAAAGAAAAAGGAAAAAAGAAAACGCTGATGACCAAAAAATAAAAGAAAATAATTTCGCAAGGCACGCGAATTCCAAGAAGCGATTAAAATTACGATTCATCCCCCACGTCCTCATTCTAGATGAGAACTACGTGTTCTTTTTACTTTCCTTCTTGTGTTGAGCAAATCTAGTATTCCGCTCGTACTTTGTAGCAGCTCCCTTATTAAAAGACGATAACAATTCGAACACGGCATATGGCTCACCCTTATTCGTTCGTCGTTTTATTCATGTTTCCCTTTTCCGCTCCGAGACGGCCTTCCAGGTCATAAACGCCGAAAGTTCAGGAGTCAGGGACACAGGTTTGGATGCCTGCATTAGTCTACCCTCCAGGTTAGGAGAATCGATAAGAGCTCGAGCACCGTGCGGCACCGGAATTCTGCCTCAGATGGACCACTAAGGTTGTCGGAAGGGATCTTGCGAAGACGGGTGATGTTATATATATGGCGACCGAGCATCTCCGGGAGCATGTCGTAATTTCGGAGTCATAGCGCAACATACCGCATTGGTCCTGCCGCACCAATCCTCGCACATAAAAAGAAAAAAAAAATAGATGTCATTGCTTACACGATCAGTACGTCATAACGCCTTGCGCGTAAACACAAAACTGCATCTGAGTCGTTTGACCAGACGACGTTCTGGCTGAGGAAACGCGTTGACGATGTGTATAGTTGGGTAATAATAGTTGCAGTGATTTAATAGTATGCACATGAGTTGCACACCTGTTTGTAGATGGCGATCATCATGCCTTGTCCTATTGTACAGGGAAGAACAAACCAATTGGAAACACAGTACGATCAAAAGAAGAAAAAATATTTAACGAGTGATTCGTCGATAATGGGACGGTGGACACTGAGGGGAGGTTAAGTAACGCCATTTTGAGGACTGATAAGAAGGAGTTTACGGTTTTCCGTATTTACAAAAAACACCAATATGTAACAATAATAAATTTTTAATAAATTGTCAAACAGTTGACCGCATCTGCATTTTTTTTTATAGATCCGGTCAACGTTTGGCAATTTATTGTCATTTTACTATTGCTATTTTGAGTGTCTTCACTACCAAGCGGAGATTTCAGTTAAAATGCTGTCAGAAATTTTATATTAACCTAACATATGAGAGCAAGCATCCGACTTTC